GGCCGCAACTGCACTGATGTCAAGGGTGTGGCTACGTAGAGCCCCTTGAGTCGTCAACACTACTTGCAGCTCACACGTGTGCATCCAGAGCATACGCAAGTAAGTGAAGCAAGACTTTGTGTGTGAAGTGAAAAAGGGGTTTGGTGCCGCGTCGCTGCAATGGATGAGCCAGCTGTGACTGAACCAGACTATTCCACAGCCCTCCCCGACGTAAATCCAGCACAAGCACATCAACAGATTGGATGTCCTTGTAGCTGCATGCAAGCTTTGTGTAGAGGGTTAACCCACGCAGTTTGCTACCGTAAGTACTTGCAAGGCATCCCTTGTACTTTGAGTACTTGAAGTATGCTGAGCAGATGCTCGTCCGTATGGGGCCCTCGGCCGGCCGCATCCTCAGGGACGAGCAGCACGTGAAGCTCTTCTTTGGAGAAGAGAGTGCCAAGAAGGACTATCGTGATTTCTTTGAAGCAGTTTGGTTCAGCTGAGGCTCTGCGCGTGTTTGTGTGTCCCGCTGTTTGGATGAAGGACTTGTTGCCAACAGGATCCAAAGTGGCTTGATTATCTCTATTGACCCGGTGACTTTTCTTTCAGGCCTATAAGGACCGCCTCTGAAGCGCTCACTGGCAGCCTGCTTTGAGAAGGAGGCGCACGAGTGTCCTGTGGGCACTGAGGAGTGGCAGCGCACTCCTGCGCTGAAAAAGCCAAGGCGGGCAGATAAGGTGCAGCTCCTGATGGATGATTGGACGCCGACGCCGCTGCAGAACCAAACCGCCAAGGCCATGAAGCAAGCCAAGGCGGCCGATGCAGGCAAAATCGTTGAAGGCAAAGCCAAGAAGACCGATGGTGCCAAGACCAAACCCGAGGCTGCAGCATCGGTGGAGAAAGTGCCCATGTTCAAAGTTCAAAGGCTTCGATTTGGTGGCCATGGGTTTGCCGCAAGAGGCGTGGCCTGAGAAGGACGGCCACTACCTTGGAAAGTTCGGCTACACTGTGTGCTTTGGCCGCGCAGCCTCTCTTCGGCATTTGGTTGTTGCAGAGTATGGCAGTCTGCGGCTGCATGTGTGCATCCAGAATTGTATAGGAGATGGAATGTGTTGTGCCTGCCGTGTTGTGTTTACTGAGGCCATCGAGATTCGGGTCAGCACGCGAGCCTTTGTGGTGAAGAGGCTGGGTGAGCCCGGTGGTGCGGATACAGCAGCTGGTGAAGGTGCCAAGAAGGCCCTCGGCCAGGTGACGTGGTCCAAGTTCCAGACTACAGCTGCTGCCTGGGAAGAAGCCAAGAGTCGTGCCCGTTGGGCATGATTGGTGTGTTTGTGCATCACGATGCTACAGTGTTGATTTTGATTATACATAAATGATAAATGTTAATCACCTTTGTTGTTCAGCAAGCAGCCTGGTGTTTCATCCAGACCTCTGGAGACAGTCTCCAGGGCTCTGATTGGGATGGCTTTTGCCGCTGGGAGGCAGATCTTTGAAATCTGCGATCATCGCTGAAGACAGCAGTGCCGGGGTGAAGTTTCCGGATGTGCATTGTCACTGCAGATAGTGCTGGGGTGTGCATTTACAAGGTGCGCGGACGCCGCTAGAAAATGAGTGCGGTCTCAGTTGGCATCACACTTTGTGCTCAGACCGAAATCCTACCTCTATACCCCCAGCCCAGTACTGCTCTAAACCATGTTCCGGGCAGGTGTGCCTGACATTCACCATTGCGAGGCCGGGTTCAGTGCTTCTTGCAAGGTTCGGAAGAATATGAGGTCTAGGGCTCATGGCTAAGAGGCTTGTGCAGTGTTTGGCTTGTGCGGTCTTTGGTGTTTCAACTTCTTGTTTAGAATTCGTGCTTTGTGGCCAGTTTTAAGTCCTTGGGCTTTGGGGCTCGAGTGTTCATCTGCAATTTTGGTTTGGTGGTTCCCGCTCTGCAGGAAATCGAAGCTTTCACGGAAACGATCCAGGAGAACTAGAAGCTTTCACGGAGACGAGGAGGGGTAGGGTTGTAGAGGTTATATATAAATGTCTTATCTGGAGAGGGGTCCGTTTCTTTATCTTTCCTGACAGGGGTACGTTTCTTTGGATGGCCATTCTGTCTGTGTGGATGGCCATTCTGTCTGTGTGGAGGAACACCAAACTTTTACGGGGACGAGAAGAGCCCGAAGCTTTACGGAGACAAGGCGGGTTGCAGAGTTTAAAGATCTAGGCACTTGAGGGGTTAGGTTCTTCCTTTTGCGGTGGATGGCCATTCTGTCTATGTGGAGGAACTCAAAGGGACGAGGGGAACCCGAAGCATTGACGGAGACGAGCCCCTTTCTTTCCTTTTGTTTGTGTGCAGGTGGCACGGGGACGAGGAGAACTCCAAGCTTTGACGAAGGCAAGGAAGGGGTGTTTACAGGGTTGCAGAGTTCAAGGAGGGGTGTAGGGTTGCAAGACCTGATGAGAGGGGTCCGTTTGTGTTTTTTCGGCGCACGGATATTCTGTTTGCATCGGAGAAGAGCTGAAGAGTTTGATAAACATTTGATCGGGCTCCCTTTCTTTCCTTTGGTGGAAGCCCATTCAGCCTGTGTGAAGGAGGAACTCGAAGCTTTCACGGGGACAAGGACAACTCCAAGCTTTGACGAAGACAAGGAGGGTTGTAGGGTCATTTCCAGAGTTCAAGGAGGGTGTAGGTTTGCAGAGTTTCAGCATGTGATGAGATGGTCCGTTTGTATCTTTCGGTGGAGGGCTATTCTGTATGTGTGGGATTACAGAAATTAGTATGAAGTTCGGTGTGCTGGAACCCAATGCCCGCTCCCCCAACTCGCAGGGATCTCTATGTTCACACCACTTCTGGGGCTTATAGTAAAGTGGTTGCATCATATTTGTCGTTCCGAAGAAGTCAATAGGTCCACACAGCCTCATCCCGAACCGTGACAAACCACCGACCTCCTCGGGGAACGGAACTGAAACGCTCTTTGCCCTATAGCGCAAAGGGGTTTCAGTTCCGTTCCTATATACACACATACAAATATAAAACAAAAACTAATATATATATATACATACATATATATATATGTGTGTGTGTATGTGGTGTGTATATATATATATGTATATCTATATATCTATATATATATATAGCGACCTAAGCCCCCGCTGGGCCAGCTGAACCCTTTGGACTTTTCACCCGTAACGCCAGAATCACTTGTAGAAAAATCCTTGAAGAAATCGTCATGGGGAAACGAGCCATGGATCGAACAAAGCGGATGGATGCTCATGCGGTCCGGCGCAGACAATGGAAGTGGATTTTCAGGGGCTTGAAGCACTTGAGAGCCCCGCTTGAGCTTCAGATGGCACGAGGTATGTTTTGGTTTTGTTGGGAGTTGGTGTCCGGGCAGCAGGTAGCTTGAGGGTCTTCGTTCATGTCAGACGACAGAGGTCTTGGTCGAGCTACTTGCGGCCTTGTTTCGAATTGCGGGCCTTCCGTGGGGAATGCTGGATCACTTCGAAGCTTTTGCTGGGGAAATGGCCGTCACGCGCGGAGAATGGGAGGTGGAACATACAGGGTTTGGGTCGGGATGTTGCGTGTGGTGTGAAGTGTGAAGGGAATAAAGGTTCAGGGTTTGGGGTTTTCGTGTTGCCCTCTTGCATTGAAGGCTGGGCGTTCCGCCACCGTGCTGGAGCTGAACCTGGACGACGTGAGGATGAATATCCTAACCCCAGAAGGGTTTGCCTACGCCCTGCTCCAGGTGTCCAGGCTCAGGCCTGGAGCTGGCCATGTTACAGCGCCGGTGTGTTCGACGTGGGTTTTTATGTGGCTTGGCTCTGGCAATCATCCTAGCGAAGCATTTCGAGGTTTTAAGGTGTTGGGTTGTGGGTGCTGCCGTGTCTAAAGGTCACTGGTATGTCAAGAGCCTTTTGGCTACGTTTCTCGAGGTTGTTCCCGGATCCAGTCTGGTTTTGGGTTCTATATGGTGCTTCAAGGTAAAGGGGTGTTGTTCTTGCATCAGGTGTGGGGCGTGGGCAGTTTAATGGCAAGGCTTTTGGGTTGTAGTGTCTTTGAAGTTCCCTGGTAATAGCCTTTTGGCTGCGGTTCTTGCATGGGGGGTTATGGTGTTGTTCTTGCATGAGGTTTATTNNAATAAACCTCATGCAAGAACAACACCCTATATAGGTATTGCCTTTGGGTTGTATGTGTTTAAGGTCGTTGGTGTGTGCAAAAGTTTTCTCGGGGTGGAATAGTCGCTGCTATGTGCAAAGGTTCGGGTGGAAGTTCGATCGAGGCATGTGGGTCAAGGCTTTTGGGTGGGCTGGCATTTTGCTACCGAAATAGATAAAGAGAGCCAACGTGAACCCATGAACCCTAAAGCGTTACGCCCTATGCGGGGCATCCCTGCCATTAATTCCTCGATCTTCTGGGTTTCATACACCACTAGCACTATACATTATGGATTCCAAGACAGTCTGGGTTTCATGACGTGCCACTAGCACTTCTTTTTGTAGATTCCTGGCCATTCGATCTGGGTTTCATGACATATGCCTCTTTCATTATAACGTTCTACAATATCTCGACACTCCAGCGAACTTCTGTGTTTCATGACATATGCCACTAGCACTATATTATATCCTTACCAGAGGGACATGGCATTTGACGTTGCATCATGTGTTGCCGCTGTCTGTTATAACGACGACAGGACTTGAGAGATTGAAGACACTGTTGATACGCCGACGATTATACAGAATCAGAAGCGAAAGCGCGACGTCCCACCACACAAGCATGGCTGCTGCAAGCATGGAGATGAAGGACACACACATTTTATGAATGGCCGATCTCAGGTTTGCGTTTCCTGCATGGTGTAGGTCGTAGTCTTCTATAGATCAGAGATTTACACCTAAGGGTTTGATTGGGGTCCGCAATGGGTCCGCCGATTTGAAGTGTAGGCCGTTTCAAGCGTTCCCGCGAGATGAAGCATGTGACGTGTGATTCAGCGCATGGTTCATGTGAGACGTTGCGGCGGGCGTTGTGAATATAGAGGCTGCATGTGCGTTGGATCCAGTCATGCGCTGTTGAGCCTTGCAGGTTCTAGGTTCATGAAAGCCTACCGTGCTTATCGAGGCTTCGCGTGAACATTTTGAGATGTGTCCTCCGGGCCTATTCTGAAGAATGACCCCAAAGCTCCCTTAACTGCCTTCTTGATGCTGACATGGGCGAGAAACCCTTACTTGTTCAGTTATACCCAAAGGATGTGACAATCGGACCTATATAAAGTAATGCCTCAACAGCATAGCTTATGTTGACGTACTATTTTGTAGGTCCGGTTGACACGTCTTGGAACCCTTATGCTTGTTCACCCTGAACCCAAAACCCCGAACCCTAAGTATATGTAATCGATCTCAGGTCTCGCTCGAGCACTGGGCGCAGTCCCGGTTCGCCGCTGGGCAAGCGTCACTATGAGAAGGTGGAGGATGGCAATGTAATGGTTAGCCGCGTCCTACTCCTCCTTTTGGTCGCGACCTCTAAAGGCTGCTTCTGGATTCTAGAACAACCATCATCATCTTTGATGGCTGATCACCCGTTATTCCAACGCTTCTTGGGGCTGGTGCCTGTTCGTCGCATCCGTATCGCCATGGCAGACTTTGGGGGTGACGCTCTCAAGTTCACACATCTGTACACGTGTCACATGATTTGAATTGGCAGAAGTCTTTCGTGAGGTTTGTGCCCGCCCTCCCCACTTCTGGACTCACTTACATCTCAGGTCACTCAGAGATCGATGACCTCTACCTTTACAAGCTCTCGCGCCGGGCTTCTGCGGCGAGAGAGATGTCAGTGCGGAGCACCAACTCAAATGGCAAGACCGTGGTCACGGGTGGGAAGGATCTTAAGCACTCCCAGCACTATCCGATTCAGTTTCTTTGCAAGAGAAGGCTACATAAGGTTATAAGACTGTATGGGGCTTGTAAAATTCGATCATCTCTTTGCCATATGACTGAGGTTTGGAAGAGCGCTTTCGAAGCTTCGATCGCTTCACAAACGAAGCTTGCGCCAAAAGGCTGCATCCTTCCTCCGTGTTGCGAAGCACAGCAAGAACAGACTGGATCGCTCAAAGCGAACCAACAGCTTGTGGAAGGACATGGCAAGGCTTCAGCCGGTCTTTGATTTCCTACAGCAAGGCTAGCATGGCCCTCGAGAGAAGATCGTTGAACCCTTCATGTAGGCACCCTTCAGCCCCAAAGCCCACAGCCATCAGGCCTTATATATAGAGCCGTTTGCACAAGTGCCAGCTTTCGTGGTACATGGCCACGATGTTCAGTCTTGCATGAATCTGTACAGTCGATTCATGCAATGGATCGGAGCCACAGCTCGTGTGAGGGCAGAACACGTACGTACAGAAGAGCATTGAATTCGTGTGATTGCATGGATGAAAAAGCATGCGATCACAGAAGATGTGTAATCGTTGCACGCAATCAGCAGCTCATATGATCGGTATACATTTCAGTGGTTCGTGTCGTGTATGGAGATCATTCAGTCATGTGTGCGCAGGACTGATGCCACGATTTCGTCTACGACAGCCACAGGGTACACCCAGGCATGTTGATTCACGGGTGGGTCTGGGTTGCAGCTGGCCAGAACCAAACCAAAAAAAAGAAAAAAGAAGAGCGGGTACCCGGATCCACGCGTTATTTGTAGTGAATCCACGCGTTATTTGGAGTGAATACGCGTTATTTGTAGCTGGGCCCAGGGACCCCCGAAAACCAAGAAATCTCAGGCCAGCGGGCCGAAACCAAACCCCAATCCAGCCGAAAATCCTCAAACCCGGTCGTCCCGTGAATCCACACATCGTGTGTGTGTGCCCCGTGCCCCGCACAGAGTGCACCCGTGAATCCACGCATCGTTTGTGTGTGCCCCGTGCCCCGCGCAGAGTGCAGCGTGAATCCACGCATCCCGTGCAACGTGAATCCACGTACCCCCTGTAGTTTGAATCCACGCGCCCCGTGCACCCCCCCGTGTACCGTGAATCCACGTGTCCCGTGTAGGGTTTCCACGCGCCCCGTGCAGCGCCCCGTGTACCGTGAATCCACGTGTCCCGTGTAGGGTTTCACTTGTTTTGTCTTGTCCATGCATGATTGCTGCTCTCTGCTATTGATTGCAGTGTTGCTAGATGAGATTTGCTGCAGCAGTGAGATGCACCCATGATTCCAGGTTGTTGTTGTCGTAGCATTTACAGACCTGGGCCGAATGTCAAGATGCAGATGTGTTGCAGCATGACACGCATTCATCAGTTCCTAATCCAGAGGCAATATGGAATTTCCACACATGATCCCGGCAGCGTGGGGAGATGTATGTGTGCATAGGTAAGTTCCGGCTGCAAGTTTTTGTGTCTTTTGAGCTTTGAACCCCTTAGGCGTTTGCAAAGCAATGGGCAAGTCGGCTTTGTCGCCTTCGAGACGCAAGCTGGCCAAGCTTGCGAAGGTTGCGAAGAAGGACAAGAAGACGAGCAAGGAGACCAAGACCGCGACCAAGCAGGCCGCGACCAAGGAGGACAAGAACGTGACCAAGGAGCCAAAGAACGTGACCAAGGAGGCAAAGGACGTGACCAACAAGCCAAAGAACAGGAGCCGGGAGCACAGGACGTGACCAAGGAGAAGAACGTGACCAAGGTGGCCAAGAACGCGACCAAGGAGGACGACAACAACGCGACAAGCAAGCGTGGCACTCCGCCGCCTGAGGTGCAGCAGGGCAAAGAGAAAAAACGCAGGGAGGCCAGCCCCGCCAAGGAGTCTGTGCAGGTGACCGCGGTTCCGGTGGTGAAGAAGGAGCAAAAAGAGAAGAAGGGCCACAAGGAAAAGAAGGAGAAGAAGACCAAAAGCGACAAGGTGCTCGACGGTGACAGCAAGGCCGAGGCCCCGAGCGAGGCAGCGGCCCCGAGCGAAGCAGGACGTTCCACGACGGCAAGCTCGAGAGCAAGCCGGCGTTCCGGCGGCCAAGAGACGGATCCGGAGGTCCGCCGCAGGATCCTCACGAAGACGTCTACAGCTGACGCTGCGCAGCAGGCGGAAGACGAGGCCACCGAAAAGGCCAAGAGGGTCCAGCACCTCGTGACGAAGGGCAGAAGATGCTGAAGAACAACCCAGACCTCCTTCGCCAGCTAGAGGCAGACAGCAACTCAGAAGCTGAAGGTGGGGTTCGACCGTGTTTGGAATGTACCCAAAATCCTGTAAATTTGAAAGTCATAATTAAATCTTGTTAAACCCTTATAAACCCTGAACCCTAGAAGATGTAAGTGAATGCCACGTTTGTGAGGCGATGGCTGTGGGGATTTGGTTGCGGAGCTGGAGAAGACGATTGCGGAAATCGACACCGACGGCGAGAACAACGACGAAGACCAGGACGGCGAAGAGTTGTCCAGTGAGGATGAGAAGCAGGCTGCCGCGACGGCAAAGGAAGCAACGGACGGCGCCGCCGACGACACGAAGGCCGACGACGACGAGGACGAAGAGGAGGATGCGGTGTCTTCGTTGTCTGATCTTCCAAGTTCGTTGTCTTCCTCAGGAGAGACAGAGGACGACGATGACTCCGACCAGGACAGCTCGGAGGATGATGCCGACGAGAAGAACGCCGACGAGAAGAACGCCGACCAGAAGAACGCCGACCAGAAGAACGCCGACAAGAAGAACGCCGACCACAAGAACGCCGACCAGAAGAACGCCGACCACAAGAACGCCGACCACAAGAACGCCGACCAGAAGAACGCCGACCACAAGAACGCCGACCAGAAGAACGCCGACCAGTCTAACTCCCACGCGCTCGTTGCTGTCGCGAACACAGCCGACCAGCTTGTGGCGACCGAGAAGGTCAAAAGAAACAGCTCCACGCACCACACCGAGTGGGTGGCGTTTTGCAGGCAAGCTGGCAACAAGAAGGTGTTTCCGGCGAGCCTTTCCGGCGCCTTCTTGAACAACAAGGTCGACCTCTTCAACCAGTGGCTTGACTCGGGCAAGGACTGGACCAAGCTCGAGTTGGCCGTGAGCCGGAGTGCTGAGCAGTCCAACTCCAGCAAGCGGCAACTTCGAGCCGTGCAAGGCCACGAGTTGGTGAAATCGAAGGGCGAAGACAAGGCGAAGAAGTTGATGGCGAAGCGGAAGGCAGCGGGCCTTTACTACTTGGACGAGGACTTCCCCGAGGACGACCTGGAAACCTGGTATTACATGTGGGATGGTCACCGACTTGCGTGCGAAGCGAAGACCAACGAGAAGATGGAGCTGCAGGCCAAGCAGAAGCTCGACGGTGCGATGCTGAAGGCCCTCACCAGTGAAGGCCCTTTGCAGGCAGGCAGGCGCCTTGCCGGACGGTTTTGCGGCGACGGAGGCCGGGCAGAGGAAGCTCCACGAGGTCTTGCACAACGAGGCAGTCTCGAAATGAAAGCCCGCCCCGAAGCCGAAGCCGGAGGAGTCCGAGCTTGTGGCCCCGAAAAGCTTGCGGCAGCGCCTTGCATTATATTCGGAGAGAAAGTAGAAGGGAAACAGAGTTTTATTATGTTGTATTTTTTTAGTATTTAGGGTTTATGGTTTAGACATAGAGAACAGAGTTTTATTCTGTTGTATTTTTTTGAGTGTTTAGGGTTTATGGTTTAGAGATAGAGAACAGATGCTTTGTTTTGATGACTATAGGATGGTGGACGAGAAGCTGCCTTTGATGCTGAGCGAAGCAACCACGGCACGCAAGCTTTCGATCGCTGTGCAATCGGCGCCCTTCAGCGAGGAGCTGAGCCAGCAGTTGATGTTGCACGGCAACCAGACTGAGAAGCTGTACAAGCTGTTGGACAAGATGTCGAAGGACCCCAAGTCGTCAGAGAGAAAGCTTCAGGGTGCTCTTGTGATGTACGACAGCAAGAAGAAGATCTTCGAATCCGCCCAGGCGACCCTTTCTTTTCCTGGAAAGCACCCTACCCTAAACACTATCCTTGGGAACAATATAAAGCATAAATAGACCCTATAAACCATCAACCCTAAACTTTTGAGCTGTGTGGGGCCAGTTGCGTTAGAGTTCTGGAGACGGCATGCAGGCCGCCGCGGAGTCGATCCTGAGTGGGCTCAAGAAGGCTAAAAAGCCGAAGAAGAAGGGAAAGAAGAATGCTGATGACGACGACGCAAATGATGCGAAGCCGGAGAGCGAAACCGGGAAGTCCTGAGACGGTTCAGGGACGTGTGGTGGGCTGTCGCATGGTTGGTTGTGAACGTCTTAAAAGAAAGCCCGAGATATGCAAGGGTATATAGAGCCTGCTTGCTTTCTTTCCAGCATGCGATTTTTGACTGAAGCCGACCACACGTGGCTATCCATGTGCATGGATGCATGGGTAGCATGGCCCGCATTTTGCGGGGTTTGATGGGTAGCATGGCCCGCATTTTGCGGGGTTTGAAGGCCCGGCAATGCCTTGTGAGATTTGCCAGATGCCTGTGAGATCGAGACAGCCGCTGAGGAAACATGGTCTCCACAACCACCTGAAGCCTCCCGAAACCATATCATAAACCCTAAACCATAAACCCTACACCAGAAACCCTACACCATAAACCCTACACTATGAACCCTAAACCATAGGCCGTAAACCCTTTACCTTTCAAGCCCAAACCCTTCAACCCCTGAACCCTTTAAACCCTGAGCCCTGAAGCCATTTATCGACAGCCAGGTCCAACGACGAACCTTCATGACGGGAGGCGGAGCCTTTGTGCATGCGGAGTTATTGGAGGTTTTTGTGTCGGTCATGCTTTGTATGCTGTATGCAGCCAAGTGAGTGAGCAGATGGGTGGAGCCTTTGCACGTAGTGTCGGTCATGCTTTGCATGTAGTTGAGGGAGTGAGCAGATTGGTCTCGTGATGGGTGTCGTGAGTGTTGTCCTGTGCAGGCCACAGAAACGTGCACGACTGGAAACGCTGGCAAAATCATGTACTGTGGACAACCTTTTGATGGGGATTGGGCGGGGTGCGAACACCGTGGCGTCTGCATCGGAGCTGGCGCGATGCATGGTCAGGGATGGCATGGAGCATCCTGCTTTGGAAGCTGTGGCCTCTTTGGGGAATGGAGGCCGGTGCGAATCCAACGCTGAGCGCGACCTTCACCGCTGGCTGAAAGATTTGTATGGTTTCGAGCTAGACACGTATGAAATAGCGATGGAGTTAGCTGTGCCTTGATAGCATCTGGTGCATGCACTATATGTTTTATCTATCGGTCTTAGTAAGTCTTAGTATTTGGTTGTGTTCGTGTAGAATTTGGAAGATGAGGTGAACAACTCAAGATGCGTCGAGCAAGTGCCCGTGCACGTGCTGCTTCCACATGAGGTGATGCACGCCATTTTTACAATGGGTGCAACGCAGGCCTTTTTTGTGCTGAAGACGTAAACCTCCAAAACCGAAAGCACCTGAACCCTAAACCCATATAGATAAAACCTCAACTTTAACCCTATATAAGCCCTAAACTTTTAAACCCTGAACTCTTACCAGCTAAGCTTGAACTCTGGAGCTTCAAAGTTTTGTAGAACCCTGCACTTGTGCAGTTCAGCTCTATCTTCCTCGGCAACATGTCTGGTGCTGGCATTTCTGAGTGGTGGCAGCATGTTTCTAAATTGAAACCGTGGAAAGGTCACCCCGTGCTCAGTGCCCAAGCTGGAAATCTGGAAAAGGTGATTCCCATCACGTTTCATGTTGACGGTGCAGAGATGTATTCTGATGACGAGTATTTTGTGTATTCGTTTTCATCCGCATTTGGCGGTGGCGGGCTGGTTGACGATGTTCTGCTTCACAAGTTCCCGTTGGTTATTTTAGCAGAGCGAGACATGTGCCTGCCCGGTGTCACTTAGTTCATAAAATGTAGCTTTTGGATGTAGGCATATGGTGTTGCTGCTGGGAAGTAAAAGTAAGGTTTATAGGGTTTTCATGACGTTCGGCGCGTGTGCGCAACTGAGCTAAAGAGTGCATGCAATGCCCTGGTTGCCAAAGTTATGGCATGGAGCTTGGAACAGGCAGCCAGTGGCTTGGCACCCCGACGTGGTTTCTACGGCGAGGAATGGCCTTTGGACTCCTACCGGCGCAAATGGGCCGGAGCCCCTTTGTGTGGCGGATACAAGTTCCTTGCCGGCATCCGGTTAAGGTTGCAGGGTTTTAAGTTGAATGGTATAGAGAATGTGTGTTTCGTGTTTAATGGTATAGACAATGTGGCTTGAGGGTTTAATGTAATAGAGAATTTCGGTCCGGAATGGCTGTTGTCGTCATTCGTTTACGAGGCCAGCCTATTTCTGCGTGAAGGCAGACCTCAAAGCGCGGCATGAGGTCAATATGTTCGAGCGATGGTACCAATGCACGAAGTCGCTAGACTTATATATCTTTAAGTATTGTTTGTCATCGTAATGCACAATGGAAACTTGCATCAGTTATACAGCCTTTGTGACGCTACAAGGCTTTGCGAATCCTGCTGCGCCGAGAAACCTACCGCAACGCGACCACACGCAGCTGCTCTGAATTTCAAGAATTTAAGTGCGACTGCTCCTTACAGCTTTCTCCCCATTACGCACGAGGAGTACATGAGACAGGAAGTTGTTTCCCCATGGTCGGTGGTACCGGGGTGGCGGTTGGAGACCTGTGCCCGCGACTACATGCACAATCTTTTCTTGGGGTGTGCGAGAGACTTGATCGCCTCCGCCCTGAGAGTTATGATGATGCACGGGATGTTTAGCGAGCTTGGAAACACTGAAGACGAGCGATTACGTGGTGCATCGCGGGAGATGAAGCGCGAGTGCAAAGCACAAGGGTCCATGGCCACGTTGGACTTCAGGTTGACCCTCAAACCACACACATTTTTGTATGGACCGTACACCCTGAACTAACCCTAAAGCCTAAAACCCTCAATGTGCCTACAGCCATGTTTTCGTCGTGTTGGAAATATACAGCTCAGGCTCTACATTCCACGACGGGCTTTGACTGCGAGCGGTATTTGGCCACGAAGATTATGCAGAGCTTGGCAGCAGATTCAAGGCTGCACATGTCAAGTCGATGCTCTGGTGGGTTGCCAAATCGGCTGAGAAGTGTGCGGAGCTGTATGGAGACGACACTTTTCGTTGCTGCAAGTTTTGTTTCAAGCAGCGTTAGAACCGCTTTTGATTAACAATCCCTAAACCCTAAAAACTCTGCGAACCTATAGCTAATAAAATCTTGAACCCTTCAAACCCTGTAAACCCTACACCTGGTTTCACACCCAAGGAACATGAGGTGCTGCATGTCTTGGCAACTTGCACCTGGAGTTTGGTCAAGTGCAATGGCATTTTGGATGCTGGTGGTTTGATTCTTTCTACAAGTGAAGCCCGCGAGGCTTCGGATGCTTTGTTTCTGCACCTCCGGACGTACGAGTTTCTGGCTGAGCATTACTGGGAGGAGCGGCTGATGCTCTTCAAGATCAGACCGAAGGCTCACAGCCTTCTCCACACTGCTCGGGAGATCCTCGAGTGGCAACTCAATGTTTCCGTGTTTCATACCTGGAGTGACGAAAGTTTCCTTGGCAAACTCAAGAAGATTGCGACGCAGTGTCATGGTAAAACCATGACAAAAAGGGTCTTTGAACGATACCGCCTTTACATGGCGTTGTATCTCCAGAGATTTGGGGAACAGTGCGCGGGCTACAAGTGACTCGCCGGAGTGCGGCAGAACGAGGGGGAAAGGCCGGGTAAGGGTTTAGGGTAGGGTTGACGGTTCAGGGTTGTGCCAGTTTTGAAGTCCTGCGCCACTTGAGAGGTTAAGGGTTCACGGTTTAAAGGTGTAAGTTAAGGGTTAAGGGTTATAGGGGGTTATAAGGGTTTTGAGGTGTGCCAGTTGTGTTCGTGTTGCTGTGCTGGGGTTGCCAACAGGCCCCAAACCCTGAACCCTAAACCCAGTCACAAACTGACGTCGCCAATCTTCTCCCTGTAGACCCAGTCCCAAACTGACTTCGCCAATCCTCTCCCTAAACCCAATCCCAAACTGACTCCGCCAATCTTCTCCCTAAGCCCAGTCCCAAACTTTTTAAAAGCTGACTTCGCCAAACTTGTCCCTTAACCCTGCTCAAGGGTGTAAGGGGTGTGCCAGTCGCGTGTTTTAAGTCCCGCTTCAGAGGTTAAGGGTTAAAGGGTTTTAAGTTGTAACTTCAAAGGGCTAAGGTTGCCAGGTGTGCCAGTTATGTTCGTGTCGCTTTGCGGGGGCTTGCCTACAACCACTAAACCCACAACCGAATTCTAAACCCAGTCCCCAACCCTCTACAAAGCCTCTAAAACTAAGCCGCTGTGGCCGAACCAGCCTCAACCCGAAACCCTCCCAAACCCTCGAACAACCAACTTCCCTAAACTTCGACAGCTGCTGTGAAGACAATCATCCAGCCCAAAATCGTGCATACTTAAACGTCTCTGGCCAGCCCAAAACCGTGCATACTTAAACTTCTTTGGCCCACTCACAGTGGCTCTGGCCGAAGCCTCTAAAACCCAAAAACAACCGTCCCGGCCCCAAACCCTGTTTAATCTTACCCCTTCTGCTGCATGCAGTGGCTGTCTGAAGCATCGCATAAATGTCTAGATCCTTCGTCTTGGCCTTGGGTTTTCAACCTTGTCCTCTGAACCACAAACCGCCCACACCCCAAACCCTGACACCCTGAACCCCCAAACCCTATAAGACATTTTTTTTGTTTTTAGCCCTAGAACTCTAACCCGGCTCAAACCCCTTTGTGGCTCAAGAGTTTCTGCTTGTTGTGATATTTGTGTGTCCAAAGCTTGGCTGGAAGCTTATAATATGGCAATGGTCCATGTATTGGAAGCAACATACTGCTCAAGAAGGCTTGTGGTTTTGCGTGATGGTAGCGGAGAGTGGCCATGTGCCATTCATGCTGTCATGATATACTTGTTGCAAGTTGGAATGAGCGTGTGCTGTTTTATATATCTATGTATATATATATATTTATTTAAAATCGCCTGTTGCATGTTTAATTGCTATCTTCATATATGTCTTTTTGCGCGGCTACATGGAGCAGAAGCAGAAGTATGGTGCATGGTTTAACGGTGACGTACCACCGTGTCGTTTGCATGACTTCATGGCCAGTATATATCAAGTTGCGGTGTGCATTGCAGAAGCTTGCGGCTAATGCCTGCAGAAATGCTTTATATATATATATATATAGATAGCATTGCTTGTTTGTTATATTGCGTAGACGCGTGCAGCTGTATACGACAACGTACCACTTTTTCGCATATACGACAACGTAGCACGTGTTCGTATTCAAGCAGTATTTGTGTATATATTCACTTATATGATTATAGCTGCAGATGGATCGCGGGATCTGTTCGCGATTTGTGAACACGTAGCGCGGTGCCGTATCATTGTTTGCAATATACGAAGACGTAGCACGTTGTCGTATAGCCATGCATGCTCAATTAAATTTATGTTGCTTTAAATTTCCATGGTATGTATTTATATGTCTTATATATATATATGTATATGTCGAGATGTGTTCGTGGGGTCTCTTCGCGATATTCGAAGACGTACCATGATGTCGTATCTGCAGAGTTTCAACATACGAAGATGGAGCACGGTGTCGTGCATGACCAAAAATTGACATATGGGCTATATATCTGGATGTCATGCCTGCTGTAATGCCATGCGGCAACATGCTACGTTGTTGAATTCAGTTCAATATATACTTATATTATAAGGGCACGAAAGTACCTACAAACGGCAACGTCGTGCGCTTCGTACGACTCGTATGACTCGCACATGCGAACATACGACAACGTCGTATAGTGGATCATGTCGTTTGTGTAAGACAGTGTCCAAAGGACAACGTTGGATCGTCAAGGCAGAAGAGAGCCAAGCGTTGGCGAGAAAACTCCGATGCAGCATAAAGCTGCGATTCCGGAACCTGCACCAGGAAACAAAACAAACAACACCACTGTAGTCGAAAGCCCAAAGTATACTCAAATCGAAGCCTGCGCAGCTTTCAATCCTTGAATCTGGGCATACGAAGTCTCTAGCTCCACGCTGTGCGTCTTGAGCTGCTCACCTTGGGCTTATACATGCATGCACACAAATCCTATATGAAGACCTAAAGCGGTGTTGTTGTATGGACTTCTTGCTTTCAAGTGACAAAGCTTCTCTTGATGCTTCACACAGGCCAGTCGCACAGACAAAGTCTTTGCCTCTCCCATAGCCTTGATCAGCTTCGTACTGCACCACTCCGCTGCCTCCACAGCGGTGTCTGGCATGACATCCTCCCTTAGAAGGTGTGTGGCAGAGATATAGAAACAGAAACACTGAGAGAGGGAGAGAGAGAGAGAGAGAGAGAGAGAGAGAGAGAGAGCGTAGCCATTTTGGCTCAAGGCCGTGAGTGCTCAAGGTCCGAGCCCCAGACCAAGAGGGGAGTGAGGATCTTCAACCCGGGCGTTGGGACTGGAGAGAGTGTGCGAGGGAACCCAGACCGCGATAACTGTGAAGGGCAAGGTTGTTGTCCTACGCGCCTTCCTCGTGAACACTCTGCCTAACAACATAGTCGGGGTCGGTTCAGGAGGGGATCGGCGGCCTATTTGCAGCCCCTTCAGCACTTTGCCACTCGCTACCTGACCGGCAACTGACCTGGGGGGAAGCGGCTCTTCTACTACGACTGACGACATGGCAGACCGCAGTGACCCTCACCGCAGTCCGACGACAGAGATCTCGAGCTCCAGCGGGGAGCCGGGTGGGCATCCGCAGGCATCTCCAAAAAGGGCCCGTGAAGACAACCTGGCGGGGGACGATGACCTCACCGCTGCGGGGGATCAGCCTCTCACTTTGGCTCTGCTCCAACAAGCCCTTCAAGTCTCGCAGCAGCACATCACGAACACGATCCACGCCTCTCTGGAGGGGAGTCTGTCCACCCTAAGCACGAGAGTGGCGCAAGTTGAGGCCAACATGGAGGAGCATGTCAAGAGAACGACGAACCTGCTTGATGCCATGACGGACAGACACTGCCACATCGAAGGGACCGTGAAGCAATCAGCAGCTGTAGTGGACGATGTTCGACGCCGTCTTGAGCTCCTCGAGGGAAAGTTCGCGACAGCATCCTAGCACCAGAACGACAGACGGGGGACTGAGCGAGGGGACACAACGACCCGCACTTGTGGCGGGCGGGTGGGACGCGGACCAGGACGCCGAGACCACCCTCAAGCTCGTCAGGGAACACATCGCACGGCTGCAGGTCGGTTTGGACCTTGACGACGCCTTTGTCCCAGGACTACGAAGAGGTTTTGCTATCCTGCCAGTCAACCCCCGACAGGGGGAAAGCCAGGAAAACTTCCGTAGCAGGATCCGGACAGCCCTTCGCCAAATCCGCGAGGCCCGCGTCGTGACGGGGGACAGACCTGAAGGTGGACACCGCTACTTCTGGGCGGCCATGAGCGAGAGCCCAGAAAGGCGAAAGCGAGCCCAGTTTTCCGGGAAGGTGAAGCGACTTATTTTGGAAAGTGAGGGGGATCGACGCCTCATACAAGTTGAGTTCGGCACCGGGAATGTCTGGTATGATGGCACTAAGATCTCCTCGGCAGTGACATCGGCCCCACCGGGAGGCGAGAAAATTGGAGCTGGATGGATCCACCTCCCGTCCTTGGCGCGACAACTGGGGACGTCCTTGACTGAGCTCACCGAACGATGGGATGAGCTCAAGAAGCCACTACAATGAGGGGGGGAACGACAGCAGTTTCACACGGAGGTCCAGGACACCGACCTCTATGGCATGCACGTGGTCACATGGAATGTTGGGGGACTCACAATTGACAAGCTCCTCAAGCTCCTGTGTGATCTTCGCAAAGAACGAATTCGGCCTTTCGATTCAGCCTTTGTTCTATGTCTCCAAGAGATCATTATGGACAAAGGCAAAGCTGTTCAAGAGCAGGATGATCTTCAATGTGTATGTGGACGGCAAGATGAGGACTGGCGGGGGACTGGGATCGTGCATACCTCCCAGTTCAAGCATAGCCGCAACAAATTGCTCCGAAGCGGGTTCAGCACATGCCTTTCCGTGGGAGAACTTCGTTTCACTGTGGTTTCAGGACACCTGCCCCATCATGCCACCATGCCTGAGGCAGACGAGATCGCTACCACATGGCTGCAGCAGCTGCGATCGACACCGAAGGCAATCCTTGGGATGGATGCAAACGAGACCTTCAGCGAGGGGATATCGGGGAAGGTAACGACACACTCGGGGCGAGGGGAACAGCTATTTTCCTCGCTCAGTGCAGCAGACTTCCGCCTGCCGCCCCAGAAGTTGGAAAAAGCCTCTTTCTTTCCTTACAACACAAATATGCGCCCGCGCCGACTCGACTATGTCATGGTCAAGCACCTGCTTTGCCGTGAAGGCGAGGTTCTTTCTTTGAGAGATGTCGCCAGTTCAGACCATGAACCTATCTGGACCCCTTTGCTGCAGCCGTCACCACCACCTACAAAATCCGAGCCGAAGCCATGGGGGAGCCGCCGTCTACGAGATTGGCGTTGGGTTGAACAAGTCATCGCTAGGCCCCCACCTGTCTCAGGGGACATGGTCCAGGAGATCACCAACATCGCGGTGCAGATCACTCGACCAGGGCGAGCCTTGGCTAATTTCGCGGAGAGCAAACCACTTCGCCAGCAACGTCGACGTGCTCTTCGGCTTCCTGCCGGGGGGGAACGCAAGGCAGCTTGGAAGGCAGTCCAGAAAGCGCACCGGGAGGAACACCGGGCATGGAAAGTGCAACAACTGGACCTCGCGGGCAAAGGCTGGTGGAAAGCCAAAGAAGCAGTGGACCGTGACACCCACGACAGCTCGTGGGAACTTCGATTGCGGGCCGATGAAAGATGGCGACAGACGTTGCAAGACCATTTTGGGGGGATTTTCAACAAGTCTGATGCTGAGCTGGTCGCAGCCAAGCTCAGGGAGATCAGTGACCGTTTGTCCCGCCTATGCAAGCAAACAGCCTGGGAGCCATTCACGGCCAAAGAACTACACGAAGTTCGAAAACGATGGTCTGGGGGGAAAGCTTGCGGCCCCGACAGCGTCTCTCATGAGGCACTTCGAGTACTCGAACATGATGATAGATGGCGGGGGACTTTGCTTTACGTCTTGAATGATTTCTTGTACACTGCCGCTGTCCCAAAGAACGTCGAGAGAGGCATCACGGTACTCCTCGCGAAGACGGGGAACCCGGAGGAGTGGAGCGAAACACGGCCGATAACTCTCAGTTCGGCTCTGCTCAAGACCTTCTCCCAGCTCTTGATAGGTCGAGTCTCGCACCTGGTCCAGCAGCCATCACGTCTCCAATGGGCACGGCGATCACGTCAAGGCGTGGAACTGATTCTCATACTTCGCCGAGTGTGCAGAGTGGCTCGCGACTGGGGATCCCGATGTACCTGGCTAAGCTTGATATACGCAAAGCCTTCGACTCGATATATCAGGAATCCCTCGCCGAACAGATAGAGGCCGATGTGGGAGTCGCGGGGGACAGACCGTGGGAAGCACGAGCATGGACAAACCTCATCCACGCCAACGAGATCAACATCTACTTCCGTGGGGAGGAGTTCAGAATCCCACAGACGAACGGGGTTAGGCAGGGAGCTCCGGACAGCCCTATCGCTTTTGGCAGAGTGCTGGCGGTGGAACTTGAGAAGGCGGTCCAGCAAGCCCGGGGCCAGAAGCCGACAACGGGGGACCCGCCCCCAGAAGATGCTGGTGCTTTCATGGACGACAGCTATATTTGGTCCACCAAGAAGGAGCACCTCCAGGCCATGCTCACCCACTTAGGGGCCAACCTGCCACCGAAAGGGCTCGACATCCACCCGCTCAAGACAGAGATCATTTGACAACCAGGAAGGCGGCGTGGAATTCGAAGTTGGGGGACGCAAGGTGCTCAGCAAAGGACCAGATCATGTCATTCGGAGTTTGGGGAGCCCCATTAGCTTTGCAAGCCAACCTGCCACGATTGTCGCTGAAATGCAAGCGCGGGGGAGGCATGCCTTTCGCAAACATCGGGGGACTCTACTCTCCAATGCCCCATTGAAGGGGCGACTGCAGATGGGGACCATTCTGGTTCGACAGTCGACACTATGGGCATGCCAAACTTGGCCCTGTAATGACACGTTGCTGCGGGCAGCCAACAGCTTACAACTCATCCAGGCCAGGAACATGCTCAAGCTCTCCCGACAAGTCGGGGAACCCTGGGCGGATTGGCACATTCGCAGCATGCGAAGAGCGAGATTGGCGCTTTTCCACTCTAAGATTGAGAGGTGGAGCAGCTTCATTCTGCGGCAGATATGGAGCCTTGCCGGCCATGTTGTTCGGGGGGACCCGGTCGCTGCAGCCATGCTTCGCTGGCGAAATTTGGAGTGGTGGCGAATCGAGCAGACAATCCCCCCCACCTGGAAGACGTGGCGTGCTTTAAAAGGACCCCAACACCAAAGTGGGCGCCTTATTTAGGGGCCATTTGAAATTTAAGGGTCATTTGGCATTTTACAGGTCATTTGAAAACACATGAACATGAATCACTAGTTTTCGGTTCAACGGGCTGAACAAATAAATTCGCAAATGATTTCATGAAACTCGCAGTAGAAAACCCAAATAGGCGATATCTGTCGCGTGCATTGGAGAAAATTTTTTGGGCACGTTTAGGACAGCCCGAAACCACCGACATTGGCAGAAAGCGGCGATGTTATGTTTGAAACACAAATTGGTCCACAACTTTTTGGGACAGCCCAAAAACCACCGAGATTGGCAGAAAGCGGCGATGTTATGTTTGAAACAAAATACTCCCAACTTTTTGAGATAGCCCGAACCCACCGAGATTGGCAGAAAGCGGCGATGTTATGTTTGAGACAAAAATTGGCCCCCATTTTGCTGGATAGCCCGAGATTGGCAGAAAGTGGCGATGTTAATGGCATGTGCTTGATAAGTTGTTTTGTCCAGAACTTTTAGGGACAGCCCCAAATCACCGAGATTGGCAGTAAGTGGCGACATTAATCGCAGGCGCCCAAAAAACAATTGAGCCACACATGCTTCAGCAAAACCCATTCGAGCCAAAACAACCCGAAACCACCAAGCGGCAAGCCGATATTAATCGCACGAGCTTGAGAAAACAATTGAGCCACACAAGTGCTTGAGCAAAGAACCTTTGAGCCAAATAACACTTGAGCCACAATTAGGGTTCTTAGGGTTTGTGGGCTTGAGGTTTAAGGCTTAGGGTTTTGGCTTAGGGTTTAGGGTTTTGTGTGTAGAGTTTTGGGTTTTGGTGGTTTAAGATTAGCAGTTTAGGGTTTTGTGTTGCGGGGATGTTTGTGGTTTTGCATGGGTGGTTCAGAAGTTGAAAACGGAAAACCTCGTACCCTGAACCCGAGCTCCAAAGCCAAGCTTATGGGCTCTAGGATCGCTTCAGGATTTTTGGAAGAGGCTTAGCACTTAAGAGTCGCTCACTGGCTTTTCACACCCTGCAGG